AATCCTTCGGGTACGATCTCTGGATTGTTAAATAAAACTCGCCAACTTAATTTGCAGGTTTTTTCGATACAAAGAATTTATCTAATGTCCTTTATTTACTCAATAATTAACAATACAATTACAATACACTTTACTAGCTACAATCACTTGCATAAACTTTCACAATTTACTCCACTTAAATGTAATTCCCAACGCGTTTACTTTACGACTTTACTGATGTTAACGCCAACGAGCACACTTTGTAACTAACTTCACTTGCAGCTGAGTGTCGCCCTTATATAACAGTCGGCTGTACGTAGACGAAAGCGTAGAAGCATCGATTTGTTCGCTATGGAAGGTTCTTGTTTTATCGTTTCTGGAATGTACTAGTTATCGGCTTCTCTCTTTCATCTGACATTCGCCTCGCATTTTCGCAACAATATTTAGAGAATAGTTGAAGCGTAAAAAGCTAACATTGGCATCTTCCCTTATAGAACTTGTTGTAGATATCGATATAGCCAACCAAAAGTATTTGGTATTTATGTGAAAGCTTTAGGTTCGAGCATCTCTAATAGTAATGTTCAAAATTTTTATTTCGCCAGTCCGTAGTTGTTTTGTGTGTCAAATAAATACGCATATTTAATATAGTTATGGTGGTTTCAAAAATTTCTTATCCTGAAGATGAATATGGAAAGCGCTTGGATCGTTGTACTACCGACTTGTTGGTAAAGGGATGTAAGTAGCCTTTTGTAATTGCATAATTGGCAAACCTACACATGTACATAATTGTCATTTGACTTTTCAAATGAGAAGGGATTTATTTAGTTAACGATTATAATTACATGAATTTGGGCCATAACGTGGATTGTGACAGAAAATAGCGCTCGTAAAAAATAGTAGTAAAGAAATTGAGTTGAGTACGATGTTTTGCTCTCCCAAAGATAAAATATACTGAGTTTACACCGAACAGGATTCTGTAAAAATTTATCTTTGGTAAAAATTAGCCACCAAATTGTATAACAGCTGTTTATCCTGGAGAACTTTAGTATAGAGCCTGTGTTTTATATTCATGAAATGGTAAGGGTTGGTAGTAGGAGGTCTCCAATTATTATATTTATATCATAGTTTCAAAGTTGTCAACATTTAAAGTTACACTTTTTATATACTATGAGTCTGCTGGTAGTTTATTTATTTATAAACACACTAACAACACTTGGAGAAAAGTTACCACTCTAAATAATATACACATAAGAGCTGTCCAACAATATAAATACCAATATGTTATTTGAATACTATTATAGAGTTTGTTCGATTGTAATAAAACAAAACCAATGAAGAGCTGAACTTTTCTTTAATGCAACTAATGTTTCAATTTGTGCGTCGTCGTCTCTTCCAGAACTTTAGAATGCATTTTCGTCACTACCAGTTGCAAAAACCTTACTTCGCAATGTTTTGTGGTCCTTTGATTGATGCTGATTTCTAGTAAATTATAGAAATACAAAATCAAATTGCGTTGTACTTAAAAAATATTATTTCTAACTGCTAACGTGGGATCGCTGATATGATTCCAATAGACTGCCATCGCATTCTCATTTAATGAGTGCCATAACTCCAACTAACTAGTCACCGAGCACAGCTGGTTTTTAATGTACTTTTAGTACAATTGAGGAAAGTCATATGTGCTAATTATTAATTACGCTGCTGTTATATATTCTGAATTTTATATTGATATTTTTTAAACAATATCCAAATAATTTCATTGTTGTAGCCAACCACGATTAGCAACAAGCTAGCAACACACACAACAACCGCTGGACAGGACGGCGTATCGAGCTGCCTCGAGAGACCCGCGTGACCCTGACACAACTTAGGTCTGGATATTGTAGCAGGTTAAACTCCTACCTATCCAGACTAGACCCCAGCATACCTAACGTATGCCCGGCATGTGGAGAGTCCCCGCACGACACTAGCCACCTTTCTACATGCCCCTAAAACCGACATTTCGAACCCCCCCTTCGTGTGGTCCGANCTACAACAACAACAACAACAACAGCAACAAGCTAGTTAATTAGGTCCAGAAAACGAGGTATTTTTACGGGTTCGTTGCGGGGGCATGTAAAGAGGTGGTTATGGTAGCGCGCGGATTCGATACAAGGGGGACATACAACAGGTATGTCGGGTTCGAGTATGGATAGGTAAGGGTTTAACCTTCTACAATATTCAGACCTAATTTGCACCAGTATTTCTCGGGGCTCTCGAGCTCTTCATATGCTATTCGTGAAGGTTTGACCCGGAGGACGCCATTCCCACGAATGAGCTCTTCTTTCCGATGTGCCTGGGTGGTGGTTCTGCTTCTGGTAAATGTCTTTTGGAAGTTCCCTTCTGCAGCAACCCAGCAGAAATTGCTTGATCAGCAAAGCTCCTTAACTCGTAGGATAGATTCTTCACTCTGCAATTGATGCTTAGGCGACATGAGAAGGTTGCCTGTCAGAGTACTGAGTCCTGTAACTTTTCAACAGATCCTTTTTTTGTCCCCGATGTCCAGATCGATGCTACATGGTTTACGAGAGGCAGTCCAATTGCTTTGTCGGTTGCCAGCAAGGTATATTTATATTTACCCCAGGTGCTGCAGGCTAACGCTTTGAGGATTTTGTTCCGGCTTTATAGTTTTCGGAAAATGCGGTCGTTTGCGGAGTGTAAACTCTCGAATGTTACTCCCAGTAACTTCAGGTTGTTTATAGTGGGAATTTCGACGACATCGAGTTTGAATCTGTACTTCTTCGTCTAGCTGGTGAATAGGAAAGCTTGTTTGTAGCTGGAATTGTCGTGCAGAAAGGCTAGCTATATAGCAGTTTACATTCGAATAATCGATAAATTTTAAAGGTATTTGTTTCCTAGGCATGTTGACATTATTTTTCTTTAAATAAAATGCAAACCTGTTAGGTGCGGTAAAAAATTAGAACAAAAACTTTATTTTTATAGAACACTTCTTTTCACAAAACATATATTTAAAAATTTAACTAAAACTTTTGTGTTCTTTCTAGCAAGTGGTCTTTTTGTGGGATTCGCAATGTCTCTTTTAATTTTTAAGAGAAAAGCGTGGCCCTCTTTAATCGGTGCTGGATTTGGAATTGGTGTAGCCTTTAAAACATGCGAAAAACATTTAAATGTATAAATACGTATCAATAAAAAATAAATAAATAAATACAAAAATACCTTCTGGGTGCTTATTTCATACCGTTCTTTTCAGATGTGATTTTTTAAAGATTTTTTTGAGGGCATTTCAGGCATTACTCCACAATGTTGAGCAATATCTAAGTATCTGCTTGCGAGTTCGGTGAATCTTTTGTCATTTGACAATATAAATAAATAAATATATTCAATACTTTAATTATTGAAGGGAAGTAATTTTCAAGAAGAAAGCTTTTTTTTTTTTATTAAAAAAAATATAGTCGGTGTCTCCGCTTTGCCTGTATCGGTGGATGTTTTTGAAAATTTCACATTTGTAGGCAATAAATTAAAACCGAAAAGCCACCATATGACTTTAAGGGACTATCAAGTGATTTCCCGAAACCAGTTAAACAAGTATATGCAGGGATTGAATTTGAGACTTATGATCCCCTAATAGTATTTAATAGATTTTTAGGTAAGGTATACATGTAATAACTATAGTTGAATCTTTTCATTCCGCCTTTTAGTTTATGTAGTACCTTAAAGAGTATTTTAAAGATCACGATTTGAGGGTATCCTGGAATATCCGGTCCTTGAACTGGGTAGGTGCCGCTGCCCAACTGGTTGATGTTCTGATTGTGAGTATGAAGAGTTTGATAAGCTGACCGATAAGGCTCGAAAAGATACGGCGCCTTGCGGAAGCTTCGGACAACGGGAGAAAACTCTTGGATTAGCCAGATTTAGTGACGGATGCTCAAAGTGTAATCAATTTAGGGAGGGAGAACCTCTTCAGGCTATTGAGTGGTAACGAAAATCGAACGACCGGAGATAATGATGATAATGGAAAAGACGTCCCACTACCCGACATAGGTTTAAATGGCGATTATCCGTTTATAGAACGCGGCTGAAGCTGACGACAAACATGGCTATAAAAGTGTATGCATCAGCTTCTTTGGCGTTCACTTTCGAACAGAGGTCATCAATATCCTGGCCAGACGCCATTATCGTGCAATCATCGGCATAAGAGGTTAGGGAAACTACTTCTGGTGGTGGAGGGAGTTTCGGGTAGAGGACACCACCCTGCGGAATCCGCTGCTTAATTTTTCTGGGTTTAGATGTTACACCTCGGAAAATAACCGATGATTGTCGACCACTCAGGTAGCCACTCTGCAAACCCGGCGGTAATGAGGATTCCTCAATGTCCGTTAGTAGCACTAAGTGATTGACTGTGTCAAAAGCTTTTGACAAGTCCAGTGCTACTAGGACAGTTCGCGCGCAGGGTCGGTTTTGGTTAAGGCCATGGACTATCTGGGTGTTTATGGCGTTAAGTGCTGTTGTGGTGCTGTGCACTTTTCGGAAGCCACGCTGATGCACTGCTGGACGCAGATGGTGAGTGAAGGTCGGGAGCAGTAAGGCCTCAAGTGTCTTCGCTACTAGGGAGAGGAGAGTTATCGGCCGATAAGACTCTCCTTTGTTGGCTGGTTTCCCCGGTTTAAGTAGCACCCTACCCATTTTCCACACATCGGGTATCTTAAGGGTGGTCAGAGACAAATTGAGGACCCTCGTGTCAAATTCTGCTCCCGCTGGTCTAAGGTGTTTCCGCATCAGCATGCTTATTCCGTCGGGACGAAAGGCTTTCGCCTTTCCGATGACCCCCTGAACCTCCGCCCTGGAGAAATCAAACACCGCGCTGGTGTTCGGCAGTTTGCGCGTACGGCGGGTTACACGTCGTCTCGTTTTGTCTACCGAAGGATGCAGTGTGAAAAGTCGGCTAAAATTGTTCGTGCATCTCTTCGATCACCGGTAATCGCGTCTCGTCGGGTTAGACAGCGACTTGACTGTAGCCCAGAGATTGGTTGCTGCAGAAGAGAGGTTGCAGGTCCTTAGGTGCTCTTCCCACCTTTTCCGCTTGTGATTGTCTACTACTCTTCGAATCTCCGCGTTTAAATCCCTGATTGGGAGATTCCCGGGATCGGAGCTTCGAAGGGTGTCGCGTCTGGATGCTAATACCGCCGCTTCTGTCGGAAACTTTGAGCGGATTTCTGCGATTCGGCCTGCCGGGATGAAGCGGGCGGCAGCGTTCACGACGACCCTGCGGAATAAACGTTCACGGGTCTGTCATGATCTTTTGTTTTGGTATTACGAGTATATAATTCACATTGAATTTGCAACTTCTTCTTCAAATCAAACGTCAAAATTGCGGTCTCTCGTTACTAATTTGACAGGGTTTTTGCCTCTACGAACTCGAGTCAATAAAGTTTAGTAAAAATGATTACTGCTCATCTATTCGCCGAACAGAACTAATGTAATCGATTCTTTTTTATGGAGGTATTATTTTGTTTATTTCCTCAAATGCAATGGCAAACAGTATGACTGATAAAAGCGACCCTTGTGGTATCCCATTAAATAATTTATAACGTTTCAAGTACTTATTTTGCTTCCAAAGATAAACATATCATCCATAGCACCCTGCTCCTTGTAAAATGCTGCTAAATGCGAATTGGGCAGGTTATTGAAAGCAGCGAACCATACCAAACGATTGGCAACAATTTTTTCTAATGTTTTATTAAAACATGGCAACTGGGTATCGGTCTAAAATTTGAGATGCTGGTATCTATTCGATTTCGCAATGGGAATAACTGATGCTTTTTCCCAAGAGCATGGTGAGCTGCCTTGATTTAGTGAAACCATGATCAATTGTGTGAACTTCCGATAATACTTTCATTTACGAAATCTTGATGAAAGTGGTTAACTTTTGAAAATTCGACCAAGAGGTACCAAAGTTATATGCAATGTCAGAGAGTGTGTTCTCGAAAGCGTCTTTATATGCGAACAGTGGGGAATTCTGTTGGATATATTATAAGCGACTCGCTTTCACTTCCTTACAAATGACACACAACACACTTAGCGCTTACAAATAGGTCTTTGTTATTTGAAAGTTCAACAGCAAGTGAAACTACATTGACAGAAATGAGATAATTAAAAATTCAGCGTTGCATGTGTACGTTGCTTACAGGACTGTATTTCAACACGCCTCCTCAACGTTCATATGCATGCATTGTTATAATAAAAACATTTATTTTCTTAACTTAAACCTAGGTTTGCGTACATTCTTAGTTAAAATGTCAGCAATCATGGTACTGCTGCAACAATATTTTAGTTCAATAACGCCTCGATAGATATCCCTTATATAATGATACCAATATGTTTAGTTCTTGAATGGTTTACTGGATTCATAGCGCTGAGATTGTCTCCATTTACAATAATAGCATTTGGACATCCGGGCCTCATTTCTCCCAGAAGTTGTCGTAATGCACATTTTTTGGTTTTTTTTTTTGGCATTTCTACTAACTGCCACGTATCGTTTTTCAATAAAGCTTTGCATAGCCCCATACCATTCATCAGCATACTTAATATCTAATGTTTGTTCTACAGTATCTGGTACTTCAACATTTTCATACTACATCAAACTCAAATAATTATATTGCTTTGTTGGTCTGCCTGGCCCGCCGCTACGAATTAATTTTGGTCTGCCAGGGCCTTTTTCTTTGTTGTGCTGTTGCCGCTGCTTCTTCCTCTGCTGACGCAAAATCATCATCGCTGTTACCCACTTGTTCTTCTTCGACATCACTTTCCATCATGTCTGAACTTGGCACATCAACGTCGCCGTTGCTTGCTTATTTCCTTCTTTACGCTGTTGCTTCAATGAAACACACATCTCTGCTTATTATCAATTGCCTATTACTATGATCAAGCAGCCGATATGCTTTGGACGCATCCGAGTAACCCACCATCGTATACTCCTTGCCTTGTTTGAATATCGCTTATCTAACGCTATTGCGAGAGAACCAAACTCACGCAAATGCCCCACAGCTGGATTGTAGCCATGAAAAGCCTCAAATTGTGTGATATTATTTACTGCCTTTGTTGGTGCTCGGTTCCTTAAATACGCCGCAGTATTAACTGCCTCTGCCCGCAGTGATTAGTCTGCAGCCCTACTTACTATCATGCAATGCGCCATCTCTATTAGCGTGTGATTCAACCGCACCGAAACACCATTCTGTTGCAGTGTATAAGGCACGGTTAGTTGTCGAATATTTAAAAGAAGAGGGTATAGTCTTCTTTTAAATATTTGTCAAATGCTGTGCTGACAAATTCTGTACCATTGTCACTACGAAGTACCTTGATCTTCTTTTCTGTTTGACGCTCAACCATTGCTTTGTATTCTTTGAATTTAGTGAATACTTCATCTTTTCTATTTAGGAAATATACTGTTGCGAAAATGCGAGGCGAATGTCAGATGAAAGAGAGAAGCCGATAACTAGTACATTCTAGAAACGATAAAACAAGAACTTTCTATAGCGAACAAATCGATGATTCTACGCTTTCGTCTGCGAGCAGCCGACTGCTATATAAGGGCGACACTCAGCTGCAAGTGAAGTTAGTTACAAAGTGTGCTCGTTGGCGTTAACATCAGTAAAGTCGTAAAGTAAACGCGTTGGGAATTACATTTAAGTGGAGTAAATTGTGAAAGTTTATGCAAGTGATTGTAGCTAGTAAAGTGTATTGTAATTGTATTGTTAATTATTGAGTAAATAAAGGACATTAGATAAATTCTTTGTATCGAAAAAACCTGCAAATTAAGTTGGCGAGTTTTATTTAACAATCCAGAGATCGTACCCGAAGGAATTACAAAATAATCGAGGTTGAGTTAGTAAAATCGTAACAATACAAAGCATAAACAAAAATTTGGCTACCGTTACACTGAAACGAATTAATTAAATGAAAAAAGTTGAATTCGCTGCCCTAGTAACTAGTTAAAATCGCCTTGGTTACAATGTATGGTTGCTTTGCAACTGACGTTTTGGGACTCATCCTTTAAACTGTTTTTTTATAAAGATTTGTATAGTTAGTAAATAATGAAAATATTGGAGTCTTAGACCAATAAAATATATTTGTTGTGATGTATAGTAAAGCAAATTGTTAATTATTGAGTAATAAATTAAGTTCTTTACAATTAGAAATTGTACAAAATTTTGGT